CGCAAAGCTACCGCCTATGGCTCGGATTCAGCCGTTTCTTTGAATGGAAATTTCCACACTGAGTGGAAATTCCACTGTGGTCCAGACGTTAGGACTTGGCACTCTCACTGCCGGGACACCAGTCTGGTCCCTGGTTGGGGAATTAAGATCCCATAAGCTGTGCAGCACGGCAAAAAAAATAACTAAAGAAAATTTTAAAAATAATCCTTTGTCTATTATAAATAAGCATGAGTTGATTAGAAGGTAAACAAGTGGGAGAAAGGCAAACTGTTACAAGTGTCCCCGAATGACCTATTACCAAGAGAACCATCAGCATATTTCAACTGGTGGATGAGTTTCAAAACTTCCATTAGTGTCAATTATTCACCAGTACATAACCACATAGTGTTCATTCATGTAACACGATAAGGACTCTTTAATACTTCACAGAGAAACAAAGGCATGCTATATTATTAAATAGTTAACCTTTCGACGATGCTTCCTTAAATCACTAGGCTGAAAGGTGCATGCAAAGAAATGAACAGAAACCAGATGGATTGCAACTTTGATACTAAAAGTGCAAGAATTGTTACAGGCAAATACAGTAAAGCAAACATGAAGGCAAACATATGTGAGATGAAGACTTAAGAGAACATGTAACTGGAAACAGAACATATTTTTTAACCACAGAAGTGAAATAAGCTATTCAAGGTTTACTAGAGAAACACTATAAATTATAACTCAGGAAGATACCATTCTATTACAATATCATGATTTATTAAAGCAGAGCATTCTGTTCAACAAAGGGCCTTAAGAGTTGTCTGTTCTCAGCCACAATTCGCTATAACTTAGTTTCTCTTAATAGAAAACACGTTATACTTTAAAGGAGTAATTTCACTGATTAGGAAGTTACCATAATACCTATTTTAAACCTGAACAAATCTAACCAACTATTGGACATTAATGTAAAATCCTTACCTAGAATTTGATATAAAACTTTTCAGAATAAATCCATTAAAGCAGGTATCCCACGAAAATTTGTAAGGAAAGCTAGCATAATAGCAAGTGGAATCTTCACATCTTATGAACCATAAATGATACTTTGTAAAAGAGTCTAGTAGAGACATTAAACATGCAAAAGCTGATGAGATTTACCGTCTAAACTCCAAGCATCAACACAGAAAGGATATTGGGTCAAAAGACCATTAATTATACATTTAGAGGATCATTTCTCCATGTAAGCATAATCTCACTTATGATTACACAGGTTATGTAGTGGATGATCCACCTACACAATGCTTCTAACTGTACAGTGATACACTCACTCTAACTTACTGCTATGCAGGAAAAACACCATCTAATGAGACACGAAGACAAACCACAAACCAGACTAACAGGACACAGCACTGATATGACCAGAGCAAGTGGGAGGATGGGGGAGGGGAAACGGATGTGTGAACTACAGCCTCCGTTGGGAGGGATGGGAGGCTGGGGTCTGGATTGATGACGGCTAAACAGACAACAGGATGAGTCAGGAAATCAAAACCAATGATGAAAGCAGACACACCGTCAGAAAACTCCACAAGGAAAAAATATTCAGGACTGCTCTTTCACAAATACTCGGAAAGAAATCAAGCATGAAACCACAGAGAAATCGTCCAAGAATTTTAAATATCAACGACTTAGACAATGATACAAAGTATAAAAGCAGCGTGTCAAAAGACCACAAAATGGACCAGGTACCACTTCACATGCAGCTAAAATGACCCACATTTATTTTAATTCTATGCTAACAACACAGCTAACATGAAATGGGTGGTAACAGAAAAAAGGGATAATACAAGTGCAGTTTCAAGGCAGAGTGTTGTACACATGATTCAAGGGGTAAACAGCAATGCACTCAGAAACCTAGGCTACACACGCAAGAAAGCTGGCACATGTGCTTTAGAGCTGCACACTCTGTCACCAGAAGCCCTAGGTCGTCATCCCGTGTTGAGACGCGGAAGAGTGAGGCAGCCCGACTTCTTCCCTGGGGCCCTGGGGCCCCGGGGCCTTTAAATGGTTTCACGTGCACAGCTGGCCTGAGCACATGGCAAGGCCCGTCAGCAAGCGGACCAGTTCAGATTCTTGGTTTTGTTGCCACCGCATGCCCTGCACCCTGCAGCCAGGCGACCCCGGTGGAACATGTGCTGCCCGCCTTTTACTCGCCATGAGGGCTGCCTGTGGTAACTTTCACGAGGCTGTCTGCTCCCTGACGACAGAAACTTCCCTGCCGCTGTTGTGCCCAGCACAGGCCAGGCCCACCGTTCCAGAGGCAGGCTCTGGCTGAGTTCACGATGGCTTGCTAAGCCGCTGGTCCAAATATCAAGACTGATTGGTCCCTGTGCCATTATGGAATGATTAAAGACCAGGCAGTTTCGCAAGTCTTAGACTTCTGAGCGTAGCAAATGTACCTGATTTTCTCTGGGGAAAAAGAGAAAAAACAGAGAAAGAAAAACAGTGTGCTTGGGGAGGCATGTGGCAGGGAAGAGGCAGGCATATACCGGAGTCATGACGTCCAGCTGGTCTCCCTCGCGCGCCAGGCTGTGCCACCTCCTTCGGGGACGGGAGCGCTCCCTGCTGGGCGGGCAGGAGCCAGCAAGTGAGGAGGCAAGACACAGGTTGAGGGAGCTCAGTGACTTAAAACGCTGGGAGTTTCTGGTTGGAGGCCATTTGCTGGCTCCTGTTTTGGGTCGTCTGTTCTCCCAGAGGCTCCTGGAGCCGGCCACCTGGACTGCGCCGCACGTGGGCTTAGAAGGCCAAACGCCCCTGGCCCTGGGACAGCCTCTTCAATCGAGGGGAAGCCGGCCTGGTGCGAAGATCATGTCCTCTTAATTTGGCCATGCACGACCCTGGTTTGGTCTTTCTTCTTTTTTCGGGAGAAGGGCTTTCCTTTGTGGAGACATGGAACTGCCCCCACAGCCCCTCCTTCGTCCCCCACCCCCAGCCCTGTTGGTAGTGTTGGTTAATGAGCTGGTTTGACTCACTAAGTCCTTTCATTTTGGGTCCCGGCTCCCAAGGGGTGGGTGATGCCAGGGACAACTCCTTTCTTGGGTGAATTTTTCATTTGAATCATGCAGCTTAGTCAAACCGTGGCGAAGGCCAGGGCAGCTGCAGGTGCCCACTGTCAACAGCCTGCCTCCCGGGCAAGGTGGGGCTGCCATGCCTGGGACTGAGCTGGTGCCCACCTAAGGGCTCAGGCTCCTGCCAATGCCCATGGCATTTGCCCTGCAGAGCTGCAGGGGTTGGGGCGGGGGTGATGTCAGGGATCAGGGTGATGTGGTAATGATGCACCCCTCCCCTCACCCCGTTGATTTAAAGCTGTTTCCAAACAGTTGAGTCTCTCCTGAAGACGAAGCCTTGTCCCGAAAGGCCCACTGAGACAGCTGGATCTTGGAGACAATTACGAGCTGGGAGCCCAACTCCTGACTGCCTGCTGATTCTGCCACTGATCATTTGCAGCTGCTTGTTTCGGTCTCCACCTTCAACCCCAGTGGCTGAAAAAGCCCATGATGTGTCGCTTAATTTTCTTTCTGATTCTCCCAGATCGGTGGCTGGGGGCTTGGGAGAGGACCCAGAGAAGGGAGCTAGCCACCTGCAATCCCTCTGGCTTTGGGGAACAAAGACTGATGTGAAGGCCCACAGAGAATTCTCTCTTCCAGTCTCAACCCCTTCAAGGGTGGCTGGAAGGGGAGGCAGGGGGCCGTTTTACATAGGATTAGCTTCCAGGTGGCTGCCATTTCAGCACAAGCAGTACTGAAATTCACATAAAAAAGAGAGAGCTGTGAAACTGAGGTCCGGAGTTAATAGGCCCTGCAGCGAGCCTGCGGGCCCGTGGTGCTTGCGAGAACGAGGGCCTGCCCCAAGCTGGGAGCATGGGCCTCAGCTGCGCCCCGAGGCTCATGCTGAGCTGCTCCCAGCACCGCAGGCCAGATTTACCTGCCGCAGGGCTGGAAGGAACCTGGCGGGGACCTCGCGTGCAGCGCCTCTTCTCCACGGGAGTTGTCACACAGCCTGTCTCTGCAGATCCTGCTGCCGTGTGGGACCCAAGGTAGGCGGCCGGTGGGGGCGTCGGGGCCCCGGCAGCACGGGAGGGTTGGGGGGGGTGCTGTTGGGGGGCCGAGTGTCAAGAGCCGGGACCCAGGGGTCTGGAGTTGCTCCTTCGTGGGCCTTGCTGGGCCTGACACTGAGGGAAGGCGCACTCGCGGGATTGCAGTTTTGTGTGTTTCCTTCTCTCTCTCCATATTTATTTTTTTAATTTATGGAGGCGGTGCAAATTTCAGGAATGGTTGGGGACTAAAGAAAGAACTCTCTAGCTCCATCCATGTGAAGCCTGGCGAGGTCTGCTCCTCTGCACTGGTCATCAGCATTGTGTAAAGAGACTGATACACTTGAGTGTGCAAGCAATGAAGCCGTTCGACATGCTGCTACGAAGACTAATTTGAGCACAATTTTAAAAAAAGGGAAAAAAACTAACCTACAAAAAAAAAACCCCACCCTTTATTCTTTAATTGTTGCTTTTACAGTGATATTGTGCATGCAAACTAGGAGCATTTTGTGTCTTAAGAAAAATAATCTGAGAACAGATGGCTGTGAAAATTACACCCGTGCACAGAACAAGTCACAGGAATAATAGTTCAGTATTTGGTTTTTCTCTTTTTTCTTGTAAAACCTGAAGGGTTGATATATTCTTTCCATACAGTTATTAGAACTTAGTTTTGTTCTAGCAGTTGTGAAACTTGCAATGAAAAGGAAATGTGCCATTTTTTTTGCCCACTTGGAACTATTCTTAGCTGTATATTTGAAACTGCTAATAACACACGAGCGACGTATGCTGGTTTTTTAGTGCAATTTCTTCTGTAGCTATTCTTTGACCAAACTGTGGGTATTGTTAATATTAATTTATATTTGTCTCATTTTTGTATGTATGCATAGCGTGGTTGTAAGTATGTGTGGTTTATAATCTAAAAAGGTCATAAAGCTCAGTTTGGCTGTAATTTAATTCCCTTCTCTTTATTTTTATTTATTTTTGTACTGTGCTGATTAAATAAAATGCACTGACCAAAAAAAAACAAACAAACAGACAAAAAAAAACGCCAAAGGCTGCAGAAGCGTGCTCCGCCCACCCTGCTCTCAGTCTCCTCGGCCCGCTGCTCCATGCTCTCCCTTTCCTCCTGGAGCCACCTAAAAGAGACCAAAACTCGTGAGCTGCCTTTGTCAGCACAGCATCGTGTCTGGACAACAAATTTGGGCTGGCATTCTGTGTCACAATGAGCAAATTCCAGGAATATCTGCTCATTTCACATCTCGGCTAAAAGGTTCGACTTTCCCTCTTTTGAATATTCTCAAACTTGGAATAACTTGGCACTGAGTCTTACAAACTGGCCCCTGGTCATTCACGTTTGATTTGACTCGTTTACGCTAACATTCTGACGGGGCCTGTGTGGCGACTCTCTCCCTGTGAGGAGATACCTGAAGCTGACAACCTTAACCTTCCCTGCTCTCAGGGCAGAGGTGCACGTCAGTGCCTCAAGTCTTCTCCACTGGGAATCGGGAACTCTCTATAACCAACACAGCGATTCACAAACAAGCTGGAGTTTCTAAACAAAACTCCCCAGACCAGATGAAGTGCTGAGGGGATTTTTACTTTTTTAAGGATGTATGTGTAACAACGCATCACTTGATGAAATTCTCCACCAGCTGTGTGTGAGTTTCTGGATTCATGTCAATCTGCCGCATTAACCTAGAATTCACGCTTACTGTTCTTCTCCCCTAATGTGTAGTGGATGATTTTATATAGCAGTTGAAATACACAATGATGCCTATAAAATGATTTCCAAATTAAAACACGGGATTCCTGCAGGTCATAACATCTTCAGCTTCATTCTACGTAAAAGTCTTGAAAGTTTTTCACTTGTGATAGCAAGCTGATGGACACAATTTACTATTCATAAAAGAAGTCAACTTACTGCCTAAGGAAAATTCACTTTACCTGAAAACTTGCTGTAATAAAAAAATATTAATATGCAACCGTTCCATATTACCTGCGGGGACAGGGAAAGCCCATCTTTCTGAGCTAATCTGAGCTGAAACAAGGCCAAGGAGGCAGTCTGTCTCGGCATCAAAAGTGCAGGTGGCACCACCTGCATTTGCTGGCTGTGCCATTCTCGGCTACCCTCCCCCCGAGCCCCACGTGCTCGGCACTGAGGACCGGGCATCTCGGCCTGGGCTGACGTGAAGACAACAATCTGAGCAGCGCCTCTGCCTGGTCCTGCACATGGTCACCGGCCTGTGACCGCTCTGGACGTGGAACCGGGACAGGGGCTCAGCTGTGCGGGTGTGGCCCAGGAAGGCCTCGGGGCCCCCGGACACCCAGCTACACCCAGACCCAAGACCTGCTGCTCATCACCAGGCGGACCTTTGCCTTCTATCTCGAGCTGTAAACTGTTACAACTGAGAAGACAGTGTCTAAAGAAAATATCTTAAATATCCTGATGAGATGAAAAAAGCTCAAACACATGTTTTGGGCCACTGTCTTACAACAAGCCAATCTTCACACTGTATTAACTTGAAAAGGACAATGCAGATCTGAATGGGAATTTGCCAACACCAAACCCCTGCTTTTCTGTTCCAGGTAGCTTTTCACCAGAACGTGGGAGTCTCCGATGGACACGGGAGGGTGAACTCTCAGTGCTGGAGGGCACACGGGACGCAGAGGACACTGCCTCGGCACCTCACCCACCTTGGGGCTCAGAGCTGGGGGGGGGACACCCCACAAAGCCCCCCCACAGAGTGCTGACACCAGCTGTGGACAGAACGGCCTGCCTGTCTGAGCTCTCTCATCAAGGGTGGTCTGAGAACTGAAAATCCTTGAAGCAGGCCTGAAGTCAGTTTTCTCACTATGGAAGACTCAAGACTTCTCGTAGGAGAAGACAGCTCCTCAGAGAAGCCCAGTTTCTGGGGAGCCGAGTTCGGGCACACCCACCGGGTCTCCTCACTGATGGTGTCCAGCTGCTCCCGAGGCATCACAGGCAGAGTGTCGGCATCGGCCTGCCCACTGGGCGGCAGCTGACCGGCCGAGCTGAAGAGGGTGACCCTGTCGCCCTCGCCGTCAGACACATCCTCGTCACTCTCGAAGTCCTGGGCCATGGTGGCCACCACGCGGGTCTGCTGCGCGGACTCCCAGTCCTGCTCCCTCTGGCTCTGCACCTGGGCATGAGAGGACCACGGCTGGTCAGCGACATTCAGGACAGCTCACGTCTATCAGGAACCGAACACAATTTTACATGGAAGCCCGACTTTGGATAAACGGCCATGCCTATGAGACACTGCCATCTCTTAAGCGAGCAGTACTGAAGAAATGGGCTGGAGGAGAATCTAGTTCCTAGATGGCCTGCTGACACTCAGGTCAGCGTGGACGGAAGGCAATCCTATCAGGTTATTCACAAGAGTGCGCTGACGGAGTCAGGGACAAAAACGCAAAATTGCAAACATACATCCATGCCTCCATCAGGCATGCTGAAGGAAAATAAGAAGGAAAAAATCCTTCCGCTCCACAGCCGCTGGGTCCGCCTCAGCGGTCGTCACTTGTACTAGTTCCCCGAGGAGTGCCGTCCTCCCAGGTTCCCAGCCCTACGTGTTCCAGGCTGGCCCGAACATGCAGAGAGAGGAGCGAGCAGGGGCAGCCAGGGAACTGGAGGGGAGCCCTCCGCGGCTGTCCTCTCGGGGCACAGGCACTCGGGCTCTGCTGGGGGATAGCCCCTCGCACCGCAAGGGCGGCTCTGCCATCAGAGATGCACGGGAGTGTGCCTGCTGGGCCCTGGGCCGCCCTCCCGCTCTCACACCTCACACCCTTCTCTCTGCAAATCTCCCCCCTGTCCGACTCTCAACCCAGGTCCTGCCTTCTTTCCCACACATGACCTCAAAGCAACTGAGGGGCAGCCTCGAGGTGCTGGCTGCCGGCTACCTGGCCCCCGTGGCCAGAGCCCTCGCCCCCTGACTTCCTCACAACCCCTCCCCAGGGCTGGGCTACCCCCTTCGCTGGCAGCAAGACCACCTGCCACCATCCCTGCTCCCCTCCAGCGCACCAGCTGCCTATGGGTTCACCCCTAGCAGCCCGGTCAGCACATCCTCTCGCTTCTCTCGCCTTCAAATGGCACAACGGGAACCAGCAGACTCCTCCTCCAGGGCACTCTGCAGTGCCCACTGGGGGTCTCTGAAGGCTGCCTGGGAGAGGCATCTGCTGTCCATACAGCGTATGATCCATCTACATTATGCTTTTAACTGTATAGTGGTGCACTAACTCTAACTTACTGCTATGCAGGAAAAACACCATTCAATGAGACACGAAGACAAACCACAAACCAGACTAACGGGACACAGCACTGATATGACCAGAGCGAGTGGGAGGATGGGGAGGGGAGATGGATGTGTGAACTACAGCCTCCGGTGGGGGGGATGGGAGGCTGGGGTCTGGATTGATGACGGCTAAACAGACAACACGATGAGTCAGGAAATCAAAACCAATGATGAAAGCAGGCACACCGTCAGAAAACTCCACAAGGAAAAATTATTCAGGACTGTTCTTTCACAAACACTCCGAAAGAAATCAAGCATGAAGCCACAGAGAAATGGCCAAGAATTTTAAATATCAACGACTTAGACAATGATACAAATTATAAAAGCAGTGTGTCAAAAGACCACAAAATGGACGAGGTACCACTTCACATGCAGCTAAAATGACCCACATTTATTTTAATTCTATGCTAACAACGCAGCTAACATGAAATGGGTGGGAACAGAAGAAAGGGATAATACAGGTGCAGTTTCAAGGCAGAGTGTTGTACACGAGATTCATGGGGTAAACAGCAATGCACTCAGAAAACTAGGCTACACAGGCAAGAAAGCTGGCACATGTGCTTTAGAGCCACACACTCTGTCACCAGAAGCCCTAGGTCGTCATCCCGTGTTGAGACGCGGAAGAGTGAGGCAGCCCGACTTCTTCCCTGGGGCCCTGGGGCCCCGGGCCTTTAACTGGTTTCATGCGCACAGCTGGCCTGAGCGCGTGCGGCAAGGCCCATCAGCAAGCGGACCAGTTCAGATTCTTGGTTTTGTTGCCACCGCATGCCCTGCACCCTGCAGCCAGGCGACCCCGGTGGAACATGTGCTGCCCGCCTTTCACTCGCCATGAGGGCTGCCTGTGGTAACTTTCACGAGGCTGTCTGCTCCCTGACGACAGAAACTTCCCTGCCGCTGTTGTGCCCAGCACAGGCCAGGCCCACCGTTCCAGAGGCAGGCTCTGGCTGAGTTCACGATGGCTTGCTAAGCCGCTGGTCCAAATATCAAGACTGATTGGTCCCTGTGACATTATGGAATGATTAAAGACCAGGCAGTTTTAAAACTCTTAGCCCTCTGAGCATAGTAAATGTACCTGATTTTCCTCTGGGGATAAAGAGAAAAAACAAAGAAAGAAAAACAGTGTGCTCGGGGAGGGATGTGGCAGGGAGGAGGCAGACACATACCGCAGTCATGATGCCCAGCCGGTCTCCCTCGTGCGCCAGGCTGCGCCGCCTCCTTCGGGGTGGGGAGGGCGCCCTGCTGGGCGGGCAGGAGCTGGCAAGTGAGGAGGCAGGACACAGGTTGAGGGAGCTCAGGGACTCCAAACGCCGAAGGCTGCCTAAGCGCGCCCTGCCCGCCCTGCTCTCAGTCTCCTCGGCCCGCTGCTCCGTGCTCTCTTCCTCTTGGATCCACCTAAAGGAGAGCAAAACTCGTCAGCTGCCTCTGTCAGCACAGGAACCTGTCTGGACAGCAAATTTGGGCTGGCATTCTGTGTCGCGATGAGCCAATTCCGGGAACATCTGCTCATTTCACATCTCGGCTAAAAGGTTCGACTTTCCCTCTTTTGAATATTCTCAAACTTGGAATAACTGAGCACTGAGTCTTACAAACTGGCCCCTGGTCATTCACGTTTGATTTGACTCCTTTACGCTAACATTCTGATGGGGCCCGAGTGGCGACTCTCTCCCTGTGAGGAGATACCTGAAGTTGACAACCTTCACCTTCCCTGCTCTCAGGGCAGAGGTGCACGTCAGGGCCGCAAGTCTTTGCCACTGCAAATCGGGAACTCTCTATAACCAAAACAGCGATTCATGAACAAGCTGGAGTTTCTAAACAAAAGTCCCCAGACCAGATGAAGTGCTGAGGGGATTTTTCTTTTCTTACGGTTGCATATGTACAAATGCATCACTTGATGAAGTTCTCCACCAGCTTTGTGCGAGTCTCTGGATTCATGTCAATGTGCCGCATTGACATAGAATTCACCCTTACTGCTCTTCTGCCCTAATGTGTAGTGGAGGATTTTAAATAGCAGTTGAAATACTCGATGATGCATATAAAATGACTTCCAAAATAAAATACAGGATTCTTGCAGGTCATAACCTCTCCAGCTTCACTTCTACCTATAAGTCCTGAAAGTTTTTCACTGGTGATAGCAAGCTGATGGACAGGATTTGCCATTTATAACAAGTCAACTTACTGCCTAAGGAAAATTCACTTTACCTGACAACTTGCTGTTCAAATAAAAATACTAACATGGAACCGTTCCATCGTTCCTGCGGGGATGGGGAAAGCCCATCTTTCTGAGCTCGTCTGAGCTGAAACAGGGCCCAGGAAGCAGTCTGTCTTGGCGTCAAAAGTGCAGGCGGCACCACCTGCATTTGCTGGGTGTGCCGTTCACCCCTGACTTTCCCCCGAGCCCCGCGTGCTCGGCCCGCAGGCACGGGCACCTCGGCCTGGGCTGACGTGACGAGAACAATCTGAGCAGCAGCTCTGCCTGGTCCTGCACAGGGTCACCGGCCTGCGGCCACTCTGGACGTGGACCCGGGACAGGGGCGTAGCTGTGCGGGTGTGGCCCAGGCAGGCCTCGGGGCCCCCGGACACCCGGCTGCACCCAGACCCAAGGCCCGCTGCTCACCACGAGGCGGGCCTTTGCCTTCTATCCCGTGTTGTAAACTGCTACAACTGCCAAGACGGTGTCTAAAGAAAACATCTGAAATATCCTGATGAGATGAGAGAAACTCAAACATATATCCTTGGACCACTGTCTTACAACAAGCCAATCTTCACACTGTATTAACTTGAAAAGGACAATGCAGATCTGAATGGGAATTTGCCAACCCCCAAACCCCTGCTTTTCTGTTCCAGGTAGCTTTTCACCAGAACGTGGGAGTCTCCGATGGACACGGGAGGGTGAACTCTCAGTGCTGGAGGGCACATGGGACGCAGAGGACACTGCGTCGGTACCTCACCCACCTTGGGGCTCAGAGCTGGGGGGGACACCACACAACGCCCCCCCAGAGAGTGCTGACACCAGCTGTGGACAGAACGGCCTGCCTGTCTGAGCTCTCTCGTCAAGGGTGGTCTGAGAACTGAAAATCCTTGAAGCAGGTCTGAAGTCAGTTTTCTCACTATGGAACACTCAGACTTCTCATAGGAGAAGACAGCTCCTCAGAGAAGCCCAGTTTCTGGGGAGCCGTGTTCAGGCGCACCCACCGTATCTGTTTGTTGATGGCGTCCAGGTGCTCCTGAAGTTTCACAGGCAGAGTGTCGGCATCTGCCTGCCCACTGGGCAGCAGCTGACCGGCCGAACTGAAGAGGGTGGGCCCATCACCTTCGCCATCAGGCACATCCTCGTCAGTCTCGAAGTCCTCGGCCACGGTGGCCACCACGCGGGCCTGCTTTGCGGACTCCCAGCCCTGCTCCCTCTGGCTCTGCACCTGGGCATGAGAGGACCACGCCCTGTCAGCGACATTTAGGACAGCTCACGTCTATCAGGAACCAAACACAATTTTACATGGAAACCCGACTTTGGATAAGCGGCCATGCTTAGGAGACACTGCCATCTCTTAAGCGAGCAGTACTGAAGAAACGGGCAGGAGGAGAATCCAGTTCCTAGATGTCCTGGTCACTCTCAGTTCTTAGCGTGGACGGAAGGAAATCCTATGAGGTTATTCAAAAGGGTGGGCCGATGGAGTCAGAAACAAAAACGCAAAATTAAAAACATACATCCATGCCTCCAGCAGGCAGGCTGAAGGAAAACATGAAAGAAAAAATCCTTCAGCTCCGTAGCCAATAGGTCTGCCTCAGCGGTCATCACTTGCACTAGTTCCCCGAGGAGTGCCATCCTCACAGGTTCCCAGCCCTACGTGTTCCAGGCTGATCTGCACACTCACAAACAGGAGCGAGCAGGGCAGCCAGGGGACTGGAGGGCCAGCCCCCGCGGCTGTCCTCTCGGGGCACAGGCACTCGGCCTCTTCTGGGGGAGAGCCCCTCGCACCGCAAGGGCGGCTCTGCCATCAGAGACGCACGGGAGAGTGCCTGCTGGGCCCCGTGCCGCCCTCCTGCTCTCACACCCTTCTCTCTGCAAATCTCCCCCCTGTCCGACTCTCAACCCAGGTCCTGCCTTCTTTCCCAGACAGGACCTCAAAGCAACCGAGGGGCAGCCTCGAGGTGCTGGCTGCCAGCTACCAGTCCCGTGGCCAGAGCCCTCACCCCGTCTTCCTCACGACCCCTCCCCAGGGCTGGGCCACCCCCTTCACTGGCTGCAGGACCACCTGCCATCATCCCTGCTCCCCTCCAGCGCACCAGCTGCCTATGGGTTCACCCCCATCAGCCCGGTCAGCACATCCTCTCGCTTCTCCCATCTTCCGATGCCTCAACAGGAACCAGCGGACTCCTCCTCCAGGGCTCCCTGCAATGCCCACTGGGGGTCTCTGAGGGCTGCCTGGGAGCGGCCTCTGCTGTCCCTGTCCCGCCTGCTCTCCAGCTCTCTGCAAGCAGGCGCTGTGCCCTGCCCTACCGGGCAGCTCCCCGGGAGCTGGAGGAGCCCATGTCACCAAGCCCACTCCCCTCCTTGCCCAGCCCGCCGCCCTCCAACATGTCTCTCCCTGGCTCTAGGCCCGGCCCTCCCTGGGGTTATTCCTCAGGCCCTTGCGCCCCTTTTCAAAGATAAATAACATCTGATGTCCACCACCACAGCCTTCATACTTTGTGAAAATGAAAGTATACAAATGACGAATCCTTAACTGAAATTACACGATGACTGATCAAACTTACCTCTCTGTGTTTGGTACTTAATTCCTCTTCTAAGGAACTACACCTTTGAAGTGTTCGTCGTAGTTCCTCTCTCAACTGAAATAAAAGGGGCCGAATCACTGTGTGTTGATCTGTGTACATACGTTAGTGCACTTCTTATTGTACCCTCACATGATTGCATGGTTACTGTAACAGAACACCTTTAATGTCTCTCATTGACCTTAAGGTGAAGAAAATCTGCTTACTAACGGCTTTAAACTCTAAGTTTCAGAATTTATCCTAAAAGAACTGTATTACCCAGTTTTTAATTGCAAATTGACAAACAGAATAAAATAAATCTTGAGACATTTATGCCAACTAATACTTTTTAACTGGGGGCTTCCCAGGAGGCTCAGTGAGAAAGAATCTGCCTGCCAGTGTGAGAGGGCAGGTTCGATCCCTGGGTTGGGAAGATCCCCTGGAGTAGAAGATGGCCACCCACTCTAGTATTCTTGCCTGGGAAGCCCCATGAAGAGAGGAGCATGGTAGTCTATGGTCCACAGGGTCGCAAAACTCAGACATGTCTGAGCATGTACACAGGCAACGCTTTTTAACCATATAAAACTCTGAGTTCTTATGGAAAAACTGTATTTACAAGAATTCAAGAAGCTCAAAAGTCAACTAGTTCCATAAACACACGCATCGTCCACCTAACCAGGCAGCAAGTGTACAAATCCAGGACGGCCGCGTGGCTGGTACCTTCTCGTCCAGGGCCTTGTGGTGCTCGAAGAGCAATCTCAGTGCCCTGAGGACCTCCAACTCGCTGGTCATGCTGGCTGGGGACTGCGCCAGCTGCGTGCCCGCCATCATCCGGAGGGACGGCACGTACCGGGAAACCAGGAGCTCCAGGTGTTCCAGCAGCAGCTGCAAGGTGGGGCCAAAGGAGCACCTTCAACCTCACACTTGAATTCAGGGCCCAGAACGCCTCTCAGCCTCACGCTAAGACCGAAACCATGCTAAGGCATGTCGGAATCCCGCCAGTTCAGTCTAAAGTTAGAGTGGACTTCCCCAGTGGCCCAGGAGTTAACACTCCACACTTCTGCAGGGCTCATGGGTTTTAATCCCTGTGTGGGAACTAAGATCCCACACAAACTGCAGCATGGACAAAAATGGAAGCTAAGAGAACTCTCCCCTCAAATGTACTAAAATTACATTAGCTTTCATCATCAATTTGAAGCAAGGTGTGAGAAACCCGAACTGATCCACCTCGGTCTGCTCAGTGGGAGGATGTGAAAAATGACTTGAAAACCAGACTTTCAAGACAGCAACATGGAGACCAGCGGTGACCCCTGCGGGGCACAGGTCAACACGTGAGACTCCGCCTACTGACCCTGGTGTTGTTCCTTTCTGCTCTTAGTTCCGAGATTTCTGCTTCTCTTCTAAGAAGCTGCTCCCTGTATGTTTTTAGATGTCGACATGCCAACTCCTAGAAAACAGGTCAATGAGGAAGTAAATAAATGCAAACACAAATGTTAAAGAGAGCGAGACTCTGAAGACTGACACTGTCCAGTCTCTCCAGGCTCCACTCAAAGGATCTCCCTGCCCCTCCGGAGAAGAGGGGGCCCACTGACCCCAAGACCACACAGACCCCTACAACTCAGACTGGCCTGCAGCCTCCACCTCGACCTGGCAGGCACGTGGCAGGGGAGAACCCGGAATCCAAGCCTGTGCGGTAGGGGAGAACCCGGAATCCAAGCCTGCCTTCTCAAGACGCAGGGAAGTCTGAGAGACTTTCCTAAACATACACTTAAGAACAAAGTGGATAAAGAGATTCTTAAACGACACACAGACAAGTGACCGAGAGCCCCTGGGGAGAGTGAAGAAGAAAGGTAAGGTCTTCAAGGCCACCAGGCTTTGGAGTGTTCCTCTGGGAAAGAGGCTGATGGCACCCCAAGGCCGTCTGTTAGCCTGACTCCACTGAAGTCACCCAGTCATTCAACGAACTGCTTAAAATGGTAAATTCATGTTATATGTATTTTATCACAATATGCACATACGCGGGGCCGTCCACGTGGTGAACTTGCTCAAACCGAACCACACGGACTCTTTCATTCTTCTATTGTTCTTTGCACAAATACAAAAATCCTGGGCTATGTCTCCCCTACTACATACTAAGTATTCAGCACCTAGAGCACTGCCCAGCACTTTGTAAGAGGCATGTAGTAGACATGTGAGGCTGTGAGGGTGTGTGTCATACACAGGAGCAGTAGGCACCCGTCATTAGAACACCGGGCGCACTGCTCTGGGCTTTGGACGATGGCAGACGTTAAGGGGCTCAGCCTTTCTGCTCCAAGGACTGACTCTCTAGCTCGACCCACACGCCCCAGAGACTCCTCCAGCCAGTGGATCCCTTGTTTGGAAGAAGAGAGACTTTAAGGGGCTTAGCCTTTCCTTTCCGCTCCAAGGACCGACTCTAGAGCTCAGTCCACGTGCCCCAGTGACTCCTCCAGCCCCTGTTCCCCTTCCTGTGGGGCCCCCGCCCATTGTCCACGCAGCATCTGCACGGCCTCTTACAAGGTCAACCTGCTGGGGTCCATCCTGCCCAGGAGGCCAGAACGCCTTGGCCGGCAGGGCCCACGAGCATGCGAACAAAGTAAAACACAACCCCAACTCTTTGCCGGGTGAGGGCCAACCCGACGGGCCCATCCCCCGGCTGCTCTCACCTCCGGGCACTCTGCTTCCACGACTTGGGATGAGGCCAACTTATTTCTTGTCTTGGCCTTTTTCTTGGGGTTGCAGCATGGGAAAAGTGCCCATAGGATGGCCCTTCTGCGACCCATCCTCGCGGATGGGGGCAGCCCCCCACTTGGGGGCACCTGCTGTTTCTCAGGCAGATCCCTAAGTGCCTGAGGTATCACTACCGATCTCACACTATGACCACTGCTCTCACACACCGCTCTCACACACACCACTCTCACACACACCACTCTCACACACACCACTCTCACACTGCTCTCACACTATGACCACCAGCTCCACTATCTCAAGAAGAAATGACACGAAGGCTCTGCCTCCAGCACGTCACCCGGGAGCCCGGATCATGAAAGCCACTCTGTCACAAAGGGCTCCATGGTAACAGGGGGGCTGGGCTCCGGCCCACCATCAAGGGTGCAGAGAGTGGGGAGGGGCTGCCAAAAACATGGCAGGTGTGTGTTGGGTGCGGGAGAAGGAAGGCCGTGCCCACAGCTCAGGCCCACCATCAAATGTCACCCTGCAAGGTCACTGGGTCACAGTCAAACCGAACAGTATAAACTGCTTCAGAAACCACCACCGCTAGGGATGAGCACGTCTTCTAAGTGGGCTTCTGCTTCTTCCACCCCCGAAACAAGCCTGCAGTGAGGCTACTGAAAGGGCACCCCTGAACTCAAGGGTGTGCCCAGAACCCACATGGCTGAGGAGGACTCCCCGCACTGGCTTCCCCTCACTCTCACCCTGAGCTTGGTCCTCCCTGACTGGCTCCCTCACTTGAGCTCAGCAAGGGCTTGACCAACCTTGCTCTGGGTGCTTACAATGACCCCAGAGTGGGGACAGGGGTTCATTCAACCTGCTGTGAGCTCACCTTCTTAACTTCAACCCTGGGCCGCCAGACGACTCGGCCCCATGGGGACTGCATGGTGCAGGTTCAGGGGTGGCCCTGCCTCAAGCCGTGACAGCCAGCACCTCCCAGATCACTCCAGGGGCTGCCCCGCCCTCCACGCGCAAGTCTCCCACCCCCTCTCCTGACCCCACTCCCAGCCTCGCGGCTCTCCACACACCAGGGCATAGCCCACACTGCTCCTGGCTCAGCCTGGTCCTCTGCGGTCACTTGAGGACTCAGTCCCCGGGGTGCTTGAGGTCCTATATCCGCCTATCTCAGCAATGACAGACTCTGGGGAGACAGGGTACAGTTTGGGGTCCCACCCGCAGTGCACCCTGAACACGGTCTCTTTTTTTTTTTTTTTTGCTTTATCTACTGCAGTTCTCTGAGACGTCTTTTGAAAACCTCAACTGTGGCTTTCAAAAAGACTGTAAAATCACTGTGCTCAACTTGAAGAATAAAATCTTCATTTTCAACCTTAAAGTGAAACTGGAGGGAAGATTAAAAGCAGTCATTTTTCAAACTGAAAAAGAAAACCCACAGGTGACCCCATCACACAACAGGTCACGCAGCCCCGCTCTCCTCAGCTTCTCCTCCACCACCAGCAGCCCGTCATCGCAAGGCCTGCCCTGGGCTGGCAGGCGCAGGGGAAGCAGGCACACCGGCTCTTCCGTCCCCAGGCTGCGTGGGCTGCTTGCTCCACCTTCTTCCCAAATTCAAGTGGCACTGAAAGAGCATGGGCAAGCTGGGGATTCTGATCCGAAACACAACCGTGGGTACTAAGCAAGGACCCCTGCCTCTTGTTTTCCCGGTATCAAATAAAGATGATCAGTATAATTAGTGTGATGCTTACATGTGGCTTCAGATGAGAGAAGACACCCAGAGCTTCCCCACGTCCAGTTACAAACGCAAGCAGCTTGTAGGTCAGCCTACCCAGAGCTAGAAAAGCTAAATACATTTTAAAAGAGGTCCTCAGGCAGCCACAATCCAAGATCTCAAGCAAAAGGGAAGCCCAGTGAGGCAGCTGGAGACTGAGAGGCCGCTCCTTCCCCCGGGACATCTGAACAAAGCTGACTCTGCAAAGAAAAGGCGGGGGAACGTCCAGCAGAGGGGACTGGCTGACACAGCTCTGGACAGCTCCTCGGACTGGGAAGACAAACATATGAGCGTAGGCCTGACAAGTCAGTCCTGATGGTAGAGACCAGTCTCCCTAAGAAAAGTTAGGCACAGAAAACGTACCCAACACCCTGCCCAAACTGGCTGAGCACTGAGTATCAATCACCTCGTGGTCTTCAGGAGGTGGATGGTGGGATTCAGGACCTGCCTAAAAGGAGGGGCCCTGGGAGGCACCCCAGGCTTCCAGATGGAGATGCTGGAGGGCTCCTCCCTGGGGTCGGGTGAGGGGGGCGGGGAAAGTGGGTGAAGGCTGCTGAGACTCAGCTCACAAGGACCCCCTAGCCTCAAGTCACTCAGGCCCTGAGCGAACACAGAGCTCTGTCCCCACGAGAGGTCTACGTCAGAGGAAAGCCTGGAGAAGACAGCATCACTCAGCACCTCTAGGGCTTTCCAAACGTAGTACCCAACATGCAAACAACAAACCAAAAAAGGGTGTAACAACAAACAGGACCAACAGAAAAAGAACTGAAACAGATCCAGAGGGATCAGATGCATATCAGCATATCAGAGGTATGCTAGATGTATCAATTGCAAATGTCACCAGTTCAAAAAATATACTTGACCAAAGAAAAAATTTCTGAGAATCAACACGGATGCTGCAACTATAAAAAAAAACAGTGACGGAATTTAAGAACTCAGTCTCTGGGATTAACATCAAATTAGAAATAGCTGAACAGAGGATCAGTGAACTGAAGGATGGATCAGTTAAAAATATATATATGACGGAAAAGTATAGAATACATTGAAAGAACCTGTTGTTAAACTATGTTCTTAAAGATATAAATGGGTCCCCTTATGAGGGAGAAAAGACAGAAAGGGGAATAAGAAATGCCTCCAGGAGTTGGAACTAAACAGCCTATTGATGAAAGTGTAAGAGAAGAGTGAAAAAGATGGCATACAATTGAGCATTCAGAGCTAAATCACAGATTTGTCAGTTTCTCCAGAAGTAACTTATTTTTGATTCCCAAGGAGAATCGCAATAATAAAACTAAATTAATCTAGTAGGTTATTTTCTCTCTAATGGCACCTGTCCTGATTAATAGGATTTCGGTCGATCTATTTCCTGGGCTTCCCTGGTGGCTCAGATGGTCAAGAATCTGTCTGCAATGCAGGAGACCTGGGATCCATGCCTGGGTTGAGAAGATCGCCTGGAGAAGGGAATGGAAACCTCTTCCACTATTCTTGCCTAGAGAATTCCACGGACAGAGGAACTTGGGAGGCCACAGTCCATGGAGTCACAAAGAGTCGGACACAGCTGAGCAACTAATACACATATTTTCTTACCATTTGCTGAGTAGAAGCAATCATTCAGAGCATTTTATAGCACTTTCTAAAGAACGCTTAGTGCCTTAGTGTTTCTATTTAAAGTTTCTAGGATGTTAATTTATATGCAAATAAAATACATAAGAGAGTTCTGTGCCTATTGTGTATATATGACCTCAAAGTAAATGCAAAATATTTATCCCAGAGGGAAAATAAGTTAGAGTGTCTGTGTTCAAAGACTTTTGAAAGCTCTTATTTCAGGCCGAACCGTTGCTGGTGAAGAGTGAAAGTCACTCAGTCATGTCAGACTCTGCGAACGCATGGACTATACAGTCCATGGAATTCTCCAGGCCAGAATACTAGAGTGGGTAGCCGTTTCCCTTCTCCACGGGGTCTTTGCAACCCAGGGATCGAACCCAGGTCTCCTGCATTGCAGGTGGATTCTTCACCAGCTGAGCCACCAGGGAAGCCCCAACAGTTATGAGCAGTTAAGGATTTAACAAATGCTAGATTGTAAAGATAAAATAATAATTCTGCTACGTTAACACACATTTTCTTAAGATCAAATGTTCTCAACGCAGTTTCAGGGAAGAAGTATTTCCCCCTTATGGAAATATCAGTATGTTAATCCCTAAGAAGTCCTTTTCCGAAAAGTTACAAAATAGTTGCGACAATGTAGATGATGTAGATTAAATGGTGATAAACATTGAGTTGATCTCAGTGAGGCAGCAGTGAGTGGTGGCCTGAAGTGAGATCTACTTCGCTGCCCAGGAACTGACCCTGGGTAGCCTGAACCAAAACCAGGAATCCTAGCCGCCAGACCAGCAAGGGCTAGAGGCTAGAAGACAAGTTTCCCTGGATCTTTGACCAGTGAAAAATGCATTTATCATGGAGGCAGAATCGGTAAATGCAGGTACAACGTTTATTATTAGTGACACAGCACAGCAACATGTGGGAAAGCACACGGAGAAACAGCTGGTCTCGTTAAGACAGAAGCAAAGCAGAGAGACACACCTGGAGAGAAAGCTAATGGGCGCCCCCTAGTGAGAAGGAGCACAATAACCACAAGGCAGTTAAGTCATTTAGACAGGCCAGTTCTTCTGGGTCTTTGTCTTCCTTCCTGCCAAGTTTCTGGTTTCTCTCTTCCCATCTGACCTATCCTGGGACTCTCCCCTGGTGTGCACATACCCCTCAGCCAAGATGGATCTCCAAGTGGAGGCTTCTGGGAGAAGCAAGGCTCATTATGGTCTGGCATTTTCGCGGGACTTTTCACCCACAAGGAGCCTCTCTGCGCATGTGTAGTGTTTCCCTTGAACCGAAAGGGGGGTAGGGGGAGGGGAGATCTCTTCATCCTTGACTCAAGCAGGAGTTTGTCCCTCTTTGCCCTTCCCATGTCTATGAAAGTGTTCATAAGAGACAGACACTGGCTATTTACCCTCTTTCTGTTGTTACTTCCATTTCAGAGGGCAAGCAGGACACTGATTGGAAAGGCTCAACTGGAGCCCAACCATCTCTTGCCTCAGGAAATGTAAACAGGCTAGATGTCAATGCCTAACCTGGAGTCCATCTGTCTCCTACAGCAGCATTACGGGAAGACAAAAGGTAGAAAATTATGCCAATGGGGCACCACATCATGGTGCAAAAAGATGGATATAGACAAGGAAAGAAGGAATAAAAACTAAGCATTATGCTAATGGAAACCATTATGCAAGTTAATGGGGGGTGGGGGGAAACCTCATGGAAAACACTTGCATTTATGCCATA